ATTCGGATACAGGGCACTGATCAATGCATACACTAGAATTTCGAATGGTTCAAGTTCCTATATTGATCATATTTTTGCAAAAAATATGAATGAAGGTAAAATTAAATATAAATCGTTCGTCTACGAAAGTGATATAACTGATCATTTTTCCATTATTTCTCTGTTGGAAATCAGAGGATTAAGAGATTATGAACCCAACATTGAATACTTTTCTCAAATTGACGAAAATAAACTTAAACATATTATAGAAAACGAGACTTAGGACAATATCTATGATTCTGAAGATTTGGATATAGCGTCACATAATCTAATTGAAAAAATACAATCTGCTACTCGAATGGCAACTAAAACAGGGCCACTATATAGCGTAAAAAAGAGACAACCATGGATAACAAATGTATTAGTGAGATTTGTTCAAACTAAACGAAAATCATACAAAATACATAAATTGGACATAGACAACAATACAAAATAACGTGAATACAAAAAATATAAGAATAAACCGAAATAAACTTAATAAATTGATCGATTATACAAAATCCAGTTATTACAAAAACAAATTATATCCCAATAAGAATGACTCGAAGGCACTATGAAATACTGTCAATGATTATCTAAACAAAAATAAAGATCTAAATCCAGTGAAGAAATCAGTACTGAATAATGGGACAATAACTAATGAAGAAGAAATTGCCAACAACTTCAATAATTACTTCTCAGAAATAGGAAGAAATTTAGCTGAACATATTACCAAGCCAACGCCTTCTGTAATTAGAAGAAATTTCATAGAAAATTCGCTAGTCTGGCACCCAGTAGATAACGTTGAAGTGGAAAATGTGATCAGAGATCTGAAAATTAGAAAAGCACCTGGCATATATACTATTAGCTGGAAGGTACTTTAACTATTATCTAGTTCTATTCAAGATCCGTTAACTCATATCATCAATCAAATGTTCATAAATGGTCATTTCCCTAGTATATTCAAAAAAAGGCTCATCAAACCCCTTTTCAAAAAAGGTGTTCCGACTCAAATGACAAACTATAGGCCTTTATCTCTCGTATCAAATCTGGCGAAAATAATCGAAAAAATTATTAAGAATAGAATCAATGCATTTTTGACTGAAAATAACCTTATCTCTGACAAACAGTTCGGATTCAAACAAGGGATATCAACCGAAGATGCCATTGTATCTTTGTAAGATAATAATAATAGAAAGATCGATGAAAATCGAGCTACACTAGGAATATTCCTCGATTTGGCTAAGGCCTTCGATACGGTCGACCATGCGCTGCTGGTCGACTGTCTCGAGGACATGGGCTTTCGGGGAATCGCTCTGCAGTTGATGAAATCTTATCTGTCGCACAAAAAACAATCAGTGCAAATCGAGAATTCATTGAGTGATGAAAAGGAGGTGGAATATGGGGTTCCTCAAGGTACAGTCTTGGGACCTGTTCTCTTCTCGGTATATATTAATGGTCTTCTCCACATAGATACACAAGGAACTGTATCATCTTTTGCAGATGACACAGTTATAATTTATGATGCAGATTCTTGAAATGAAGACAAACAAATTGCTGAAGATGATTTGAAAAAAATAACATCCTGGTTTGATGATATAGGTCCATGACAATAAATTTTGAGAAACCGAAATACATAGCTTTTAGCTCCAACAGATGCAACACTCCATCAAACTATGGACATCTCACATTAGATAATAATCCCCCTATTGCAATCCGAGAAGTTCCACATATAAAATATCTGGGTGTCGAAATCGATAAACATATGAGGTGGAACATTCACATTAAAAATCTAGTGAGAAAATTGAGATACATTATTTTCAGATTTAGGCATCTGACAAAGATATTAGATATTCCGCACCTCAAGCAAATTTACTACTCTCTTGTAGAGTCACATATTCAATATGGAATTGCGGAATGGGGAGGAACTTATTGAAATCACATACATCAAATCGAAGTTATGCAGAAATTTTTTATAAAAATCATATACGGCAAAAAAAAACTCTCCCACCGACCTCCTATACAAAGACAGCGAACTACTCGACATTAGACAGATTTACAACAACAAAATTCTAATTATACAACATAAAAATCGCGATGACTCAATCCAGATACAACATGACAATGACACAAGACATAAAAATGAAAACAAAAAATATGAAAGTGACAAAATCTCTGGTTCATAGGTCGTTCCTTTTTCTGGCACCGCACATTCATCGCCAGTTACCTGAAATAACGAAGCAACATGCTGATTCATTGCATTTCAAAAAAAGCCTGATACACTGGCTCCTGAACTCTCTACGTAGCTATTTTCATAAATCAATAGTAATTAAATGAAGTCAAGCAAATCCCACTCACATTATCATTAGTTCTCCAGAGATATTATTATTATTACTATTATTCAATTATGTACTGTCTCACTTTTACTCATGGCTCTTTTCCTCCTTTTCCTTTTCTCCTTTTCTTTCTTTTTTTCCTTTCTTTTTCTTTCGAAATCCAAATGAGTAGGAAGGTGATATTTTTGTTTGTATTCCTTATACATAATGTCAAATGATACTTACATTATTCTTTCATCAGTACAATATTGTTATTGATTAACTCTATATATTTTTATGTGAGTGAAAGTTGTTTTCAAGATTTTTGAACTTACTAAAGTCATGATACCCACAAACTAATCTTATGATTACAGTGGGCTTGTCGACTTCTCATTTTCAGAATGTCTTCAATCTGTTCAAATTCAATTTTGTATAATATTATTTGGAAATAAATCATTATTATTATTAATTGGCAAAGTCGTGCATGGTATGTGAAATGAAACAATACCTTCATTTCGAATTTTATTTCAGTTATTCCACTCGAAAATGATACATCTGATCGATGAGGAACAAGAGATTACATCTATTTTCTGTGAAAACCAGTAAATTTCCATAATCTGAGATCAAATTTTCAAAAGATATGCATACAAACAAGTTTGAGCAATATTCAATGTAGTCTTACCATCTATTCTACAACCTCTCTGAATGAACTTCATGTCCACTGCATTGGGCACGAAAAGCCCAAATCGTGTATCGATTTCAACCATTCCCATTAATGAGGTTTTGGCAATATTCAAGAAATATCATCATCAGGAGGCTCCATTCGGGACGCTCTGATTGCCTCAACCAGCGAGCACTGTGCTGAGGTATAAGAAACCCCAGTTGACATAATGCAAACAATGATATGTAATTCGAGAAAGTACCTCTCATGCCAGGTAGCTTCAGTATAGCGATTTGTCACCCCATTCGAGAAGTGGCAACAGTGATTCTCACGTTTTCCTTGAGAAATGTTTTAATCGAATTCACTTGGTCTCACATACCCCACCAGATTGGATCTGAAAGTGTCTTGTTCCTAACAAAATACTGATAAAAATGCGATTATTCCATTAATATTCAATATTATCTAGGTTTTTTTAGTTCAGCAGCCTGACTAATAAATGTTGATATTAAAATCGAGTATCGAAAAACAAGAATTTATATTGTTCTTACCCTGATGACATCAATCATATTATTGACTTTCGAAAACAAATTGCAGTTCATTGAGAACTTCAAGTGGTACTTTTCATATATACTAATTTCATAAAGGAGAAAGATTTGTTTGTTTCTTGGTTTGTCAGTTTGTTTGTTTATATTGAATAGGCTTCAAAACTGCTGAACAGATTCGTGATTGTTTTCATCATTATAAGCCGACATTATATCTGCTCCATTTCTACGAGGAAACGGGTAATAACTCTCAAAAGACAAGTTTGGCATGAACAGATAATAATTTTGTCGATTTTCTCCGAATACTTATTACCATGTTATTTAAAGTTCCCTAACAAAGGGTTTCCGCAATTATTGCGGTCCCCATTTGACCTTTTCATAATTTTTCAAGAATATTTTCACCAATATGTAAACATAACTTTTTTCCTCCATAACAGGACTCCTATGTAACAATAATGCTGATGATGAAGCTTTAAAGCTTCGAAACATGTCCCTGTAAGATTGCTCACAATGAAATATAGCTTTGGTGGAGTCGACTGTAAGAAATTTTGTCCTGTCCTATTGCCTTCACTCCACTGTGAGATGGATCGCCTCAGATGTTCAAATCCAATGAAATGATTGTGATTTTCTGTTCCCATTGGTTTTTCATAGGTGAAGTACAATATGTCATAACCTCTCATATTGGAAAATATTGAATATATATATAATTTGGGTTGAGTATGTCATGCCCCATCACAATCCTGATGTTATGATCTCTCACTACACTGCTGCCAGGTTAGGGGACAATGATTATCGACTCTGTTCATTGAAACTTTTCTTCTCATTTTTCCTCGGTCTTTGAAGCCGCTGGTAGAGTTTGAGAGGCTGATTCTGCGACACTCTGTATAATCAAAAAAAAAGCAATATCAAGTTATTCAATGATACATAATGCTACTTCTTTTTTATCGATATTTTTCTTCTTCCGAAGATTTGATTGGGCTGAAGGATAATTTTTTTGTCTGGGATATGTCACTGATCATTCTGAGACCTGAAATAGTTTCAGGTCTTAGCTCCTTCAATCTCAGAGGAATTTGCTGATGGGAGTCATGAATATTTTCAAATAGTAATATTTTTTCATGGACGATGCTCTTCTAAAATATCAACAATTGTTCTTTCCTTGGCAGTCTCCGCGAGACTGAACCCGTCGAGTTGAGGCTTCGCACCCCTTTGTGGTCACTTTGGAGACCTACAGAGTATCTATTTTCGAAGACTCGTTCATCCAACGAAAAGCTGGTCTCTGCAACGCATCGCCAAGAAAGGTGTTCTCCAAGGCATATAATCTCCAGAACCAATACCTACCTAATTTCCCCTGGTTCGCACGATGGTCTCCGAACATTACACGATATTCCTTTTCGCGATAACCAGAACATGAAAAATATTATTCGGAATCTCAACGATGATGTAACAATTTCAATTTTGTTATAGGGTGAATCAGAAAACAGTGATATCTGCGATAGAAGATGAGGGTGATTATACTATTTCGAATTTATCTACACAAGGGTCTATCATTCTGGATGGTTCAAACAATATCACACAAACAACAGATCTCCTGAAAAAAACATGGGTCGACTCGAAAAAACTAGAAAATGAAGCTGCAGGAACACTCAACATGTATTCTATTTTAATGGTAGCGACGATGTTATTAGAACTGTTGAAATTCTACCTAGTTATGAAATTTGCTGCTAATGCATCGATCAGGATACATAATGATATGATGCAGAACTTAGTGAACTCAGTCATGGGATTTTTCGACAACTGCTTCATAGGAAATATTCTCAATCGATTCTCTCAGGATCTCAGTGTGATAGATGAGCATCTAGCACTCGCTCTGAGCTCACTGTTTGGGGTGAGTATAAATTCTATATTTACAGATTTATCTTCGACTACGTTTGCTGGAGAATCATTTCTGATTATTTGAGTTACAGTTCCATAAAGGACTATGCTCAGTCGATGGGTATGAATACGTGTGGTCCACCTAGAAATAATTGGGAGAAAAAAAAAACATAGGTTGGTCGAGAAGGTTTTGGCATCCTAGATAATGCCCAATATTTAGCGACCAATATTTTCAATCACTTTTCTCAAAATGGAATCGAATAAAAAAACGTGTTTTTTGATAAATCTCGTGAAGTATGAATGATACGTGAAATATACATCCGAAGTAAGATGTAGGTATAAATTTCAATTTCCTCTCATATACTTAGAATTGATTTTATTTTGAGATTGATAGTAATGGTCTCAGAGCGCGAAGAAATGAGACGCATAACCCAAAAACAAGGACAAACTACAAGAATCACTGTAAATCTTTCCACGAAAAACGTTGAGAATAGAAACAAACTCTCGTAGTACTCAAATAGAGTAGTCACAGTCGTTGACACAACCTGATTATCTGCTAATAGGCGTCGTATTGAAACTAAATGCAAAAATTTCGAATCGATCAACACGACATCCATACGGAATTTATATATATTTAGTGAAGCTCCATAGAGGAAGAATTCGATAACATGACCAGCTCAGACATCAGGAAGGTTTCATTAGATGATGGAATAATTAGCAATGCCGCGGAAAATAAGTTCTTGGGATTATTTATTGATGAAAAGTTAAGATTCGAAAGCCACATTGACAAGTTGTGTAAAAGTTTAGCATAGGGTTGCTTTGCTGTACGTAGTGTTTCTCACGAATTGGATATCGCTGATGCTAGGCAGGTTTATTTTTCATTAGTAGAGTCACATCTACGCTATGGCATTTGCTTTTGGGGTATATGTTCACAGCAACTGTTTGAAATGGTCTTTACCCTTCAAAAAAGAGCCATTAGATATTAGATGTAAAGCCAAATGCCGCGATTCATGTAGACCATTGTTTTTAGAGCAAAGGATTTTAACACTGGCAGGTCTTTTTATTTCAGAGACAGTATGTCTAATTCACAAAAAATACAGAAATGATATAAACAACTCGTCAGTATATAATACACTTTTAAGACACCATATTGCACTCCCCATCCCTACGTCAGCTCTTACTCAAAATTCTCTTATTTACAAGAGCAGAAAATTGTTCAATCACTTACCCAGCAATTTGAAAGAAATACAGAGTGTATCCAGATTCAGAAAAATAGTGAAAGAGTTCTTGGTTGTGAGGGCCTATTATACTACAGAGGAATTTTACGAAGATCAATTTAGCAGAGTTTTTATTAATCTGATCAAGTAGGATACAACTTTTTGGACTCTCCATTTTAGTTTAAATCATTAGCTGTTAATGTATTTTACCTGACCTTACCAATATTTATACTAAATTTACATTTTACGCCCATTACACACTGTGAAATGTATATATATATATATATATATATAGATTAGGTATAGGTTTTGTGGGGATGAATATATATATATATATATATAGTAGAAGGGTAGTCGTTGCTGACTAGTTAGGTATCGACTAGTAAATAGTGAGGTTTTGCAGCAAGTAAAAGAGAACTCTTTGAAGATTATCCAAGCTTTCGGAATTTAATTGATTCCATCATCAGGGCATACTACAATAATTATTGTCAGTGATAATATAAAAGTCAAAATTAAATTGTACTTACATCTACGTGAGGATGATTACTATGATGTTAACAATAATTTTCAAAAATGAATTGTGATACATCATCCAGGAACGAAGTTGTTTGTAAAGTTGTAAAACAATTAACAATTAAAATAAAACAGTAGTAAAGTTACAATCACACATGTTAAAAACTTGAACTTGAACTTGAACTTGAGCTAGCTAGTCATGGACACCATGTGGCCGGATATGAAAAAATTAATGAATGAATGACAATTGAAAATTAGGTTAGAATGTTGACAGTATTGACAAGACAAGTACTATCAGTAGTACCAACTATTGTACCAACCGTAAAAATTGTGGCAATTTTGAAAATGATGAAATGGAAGTTATAATTCAGAATTATCAATGGAGTTAACCCTGAAGGGGTTGATGTCTAATGTCAATAAATAGGCATAAATTTCACTTAGATAGTTGATGTCTGTTTTTTTTTATTCATATTGTTGGCCTCTTGATAGATGCAAGCCATTTCTAAAAAGGACCTTTTGGTCAAATTGTTCTCAGAAGCTAAGATTTTAACATTGTCATAATCCATATGATGGTCAAATTGGTTAACATGATCTGCTAGAGCACATCTTTCTGGGTGTAATCTACTATCACTTTTGTGTGAGGTAATTCTTGCCTTAAGGGCTCTTGATGTCTGACCAACATACGTTTTATCACAATTTTTGCACGGAATACTATATACCACATTCATTCGAGATGTCAATGGAATTTTATCTTTTACTTTTGTGTATATGGACCTAATAGTGAGAACTGTTTTATTAGCTATTTTGATGTTGGGTATATTAACAAAAATTCTAGCCAGTTTGGGTGTGATATCCTTTATGTAAGGCAATGATGTGTATAAAATTTGTTGTGGGGGAGTAACAGGCAATTGGATGTCAGTGGGAGTATGTTGAATTACAGGGGTGTCAGCTTCCAGTGTGGCAGAGTTATTGAATAATATATTTTTTATTAAGCTCGGAGGGTATGAATTATCTATGAATAGTTGTAAGAGAATATTGAGGTTTTTATTGTGAAACGAGGTGTCTGAGATTTTTAATACTCTATTTTTCATCTGTTTGATCAAGTTCACTTTCATTGACTTTTTGTGGTAGGATAGATAATTTATATATCTCCCTGAGTTGCATGGTTTCCTGTACCAATCAATCAAGATACTGTTGTCTGCAGTTCTAATGAACCTTGTGTCTAGAAAGGGTACGGATTGCTGGTTGTCTTCAATTTCTATTGTGAACTGAATGTAGGGATCAAAACTATTGAAAGTATCAAGAATCTCACTTGTACACTCTTTTGGTAACGCTACAATTATGTCATCGACATATTTTTTGATAAAGAATGGTGTAAATGATAAAACTGGAATAACTGTATCCAATATCTCATCCATCACATAAGCTGCTAGTATAGGAGAAATGGATGCTCCCATGGGAGTGCCAAAGGTTTGTTTAAAAAACATGTTATTAAAAGAGAAATATGTGTTATCAAAGAGGAATGTTATTAATTTGGAAAAATATTCTTCACTGATGTTACAATGTGCACTGATACTCTCCCATTGCTTGTGTATTGCTCGCAAGCAGGCTTCGAGATAAACATTACTAAAAAGAGACACTACATCCAGACTGGCTATCACATAGTTGTGTGGAAGTAACATTTTATTAAATTTTTCTGAAACCTCGAATGAATCTTTGATATAATATTCGTTATCAAAATTGTATGCCTTGGTCAAGATGTTAGTTAGGTAGGAAGCAATAGCTTCTGTGGGTGCTCCAATGGAAGCTACAATTGGTCTAACCGATAACGTTGGTTTGTGAATCTTGGGCAAAGCATAAAATTTTGGAGAATTGCTGCTATAACAAGTCAGTTTCTTTTTAACTGAATCATCAATTTGATTATTATTGTGTAGTTCCTTTATGAGGTTATTGCTGACTCTCTGTATGGAATTTGTGGGATCTTTAGCGAGTTGGGTGTATGAAGAGTTGTTTAAAATGATATCATTTGACAAGCTTATGTATTGATCTTTTTCCATTATTACTGTTACATTACCTTTGTCAGAAGTAGTTAGTATCAAATTGGGATTATCTTTCAGGAATTTTCTTGATTTATGTAAAAGGTTTTGAAAAACTGATTGATGTTTGAATTGACATTGAATACTATTGGTGATGATATTCACTGCTCTTGCTATAGTAACACTTTTCTGATTATGATCTGTAATGGATGAAGTAATATAGTCTATATCTGCCAAAATGTTCTTAATAGAAATGTCCTTACCTATTCTTGGTTCAATGCTAAATTTCGGGCCTAATGACAGAAATTGTTGAATGTCCTCTGGTATGACTGTGTTAGAGATATTTTTTATCCACTTAGGGTTAGTTTTCAATTTGGTTTTTGACTGGATTTCTTTTAAGTTATTCAATTTTCTAATATTTTTGATTCTGACTCTATGAAAAAGTTTGTTATATGAGATCTGTTGTCTACCACTGAAGTTAAGAAAGGTAAGTTCATTCGTAAGTGAAATTATAGACTGTTTTAGTGACATTAGAGAGGATTCTAGTTTGTCAATAATTTTATGATTAGCTGTGATTTCAATATTTAAAAGTTTGATTCCTAACCTGTAGTTCTGTTCTTTGATGTTTGTATTAGCTTCCTGTCTTAATAATAGATTTTCTATGGGTCTAATGGTGGCAGTGATATGTGGTGGAAGTATGTGGTGTATTCTGCACTGAAGTAAGAAACATCTCCGATTGTATTCTTTTGCTAGTTTCATTTTGGTATTGGACCATAACTTCATGTTCCTCGATGCCATTTCACCAAATGTAGTACCGATGTATTGGTAGAACCCCATGCCTGTAGATTAGTAGAAGGGTAGTCGTTGCTGACTAGTTAGGTATCGACTAGTAAATAGTGAGGTTTTGCAGCAAGTAAAAGAGAACTCTTTGAAGATTATCCAAGCTTTCGGAATTTAATTGATTCCATCATCAGGGCATACTACAATAATTATTGTCAGTGATAATATAAAAGTCAAAATTAAATTGTACTTACATCTACGTGAGGATGATTACTATGATGTTAACAATAATTTTCAAAAATGAATTGTGATACATCATCCAGGAACGAAGTTGTTTGTAAAGTTGTAAAACAATTAACAATTAAAATAAAACAGTAGTAAAGTTACAATCACACATGTTAAAAACTTGAACTTGAACTTGAACTTGAGCTAGCTAGTCATGGACACCATGTGGCCGGATATGAAAA